GGCAGGGGGTCAGGCTAGATGATCTGTTCAGGTCCCTCCTGACCCTAGCTACTATGAAACTAAGTGCACCAGGGGTGAACACCAAGGTCTAAGGGAGCAACTCTTCAGGAAGGCACCCCTTGGGAGGATGAGGACCAATGGGCACAAGCTATATGAGAGACAGTTTAGGCTGGACATAAGGAAAAACTTCTTTTCCATAAGGGTAGCTAGAATCTGGAACACACTCCCAGCAGAGGTGGTGCAGTTGCCATCCTTGGAGGTGTTCAAGAGGAGGCTAGATAAGCACCTCTTTGAACTCGTTTGAGCCCAATAACCTCCTGCCCATGGCAGGGCACCAGACTTGATGTTCTTGTAGGTCCCTTCCAGTCCTTCGATTCTATGATTCTTAAATGCCTCTGATTTGTCAGTAATTTAGCAGTTTTCTGGTAAATGTAGTGTCCAAAACTAGACATAATCTTTTAAGTGGATTTGTGCCCAGTGAGCTACTATCACCTCACGTCTTGGTGACCATGTACTTCTGTGGGCCTCACTTTTCTCTGTGGCAATAGGGGACAGGATTAGGAGCAATAGACTCATGCTGCAGCAGAGCAAATTCAGATTGGAGATTTGGAGGAATTTACTGGCCATGAAGGTAGCCAAGCATTGGAATAGGCTACCTAGAGATGTTGTAGAATCTCCATGCCAGGAAATTTTCAAGAGCAGGTTGAACAGACACTTGGCTGGGATGGTTTAGTCAGGGATGATCCTGCCATGAGCAGAGGGTTGAACTACGTGACTTTGCCACTGTCTGGAAAAACAAAAAAACCAAACAAAAACTCAAAACAAAAAAACCAAAACAAAACAAAAGATCAATGTCCATAAAGTCCTTTAAAAATGGAGCTGATGGTAAAAAACTAAGAAGCCGTGAGATTGATTGAAGATCAGTTATCAGAAAGACACTGGTCGCAAGTATTGATGGACAGACAGATTAGAGCAGTGCTACATTGTGTCTGAGCAGGAGTGCAGCTCAGCACCATGCAGGGAGCTCTCCCTCAGTGTTTTGTGGCCTATGGGAGCTTCTGTAGTTTTCTTCCCTTTACAGCTATGTGCTGCTGCTGCTGCATCCCATCACCTGCCTATATAGTAGCTACTTGGCTCAAAGGTGGGCAGGGCCACATAGCCCCAGGCAGTCTGAGGCACCAGGTGGGACAGGGAGGGGAGTGATAGGGTCAGGAGGCGGAAGAAGTGGTGGTGGGAATCTGTGCCAGGATGGGGAGAGTTGGCTTAGCAGAGATAAGGTTAGCGTATGGGCTGGCGTGAGGACAGCATGATACAGGATGTGGTTGGATGTGGCACAGTGTGGTGGGTGAGTAGGGGACCCCTTGGATGGGGCCACCATGGTGTAAATCCATTGCTGCAGTCAGGTAAGACTGAGTCTTTATGGTTGTGTTTTGTTTCATGTTTAATAGTTAAGGTTTTCTCTAAGGTTGTGTGTTTGTTCCTTTCCCCCCCCCTGTAATAAGCTCTGTTTTAGCTGAATGTTGCTTGCAAGCAAGGAAATTTTCTTCACGGTAGAACACCCAGTTAAAATTTATTTTCCCAAAGGTCTTGGTGGGTGTTTGAAAAGCCAGATATAGAAAGTTGTTGTTAAACCCCTAAATTTGAATCTAGTCCTTGTTACTGTTATCCCAGCCCAGGCAGAATGGTTTTATTTATATTATAGAAAGTGTAAGTCAACAAAAGTGTGTGTTAGTAAAAAGAAGTTTGGTTGTCAGTAAAATA